AACGTGAGTGCTGTCGTTCCAAATATATAGCAATAAACTAAAACGAGTGTTCTAATGTAATCAATTTATTTGGCGAATATATAGGTTGTGATATCGTCAATTGATTCCAATTAATGCTAATCTTAGTCTCGCATTAGTCTCGTAGCATATATAGAAATGTTTGTCATATGCACTCAGGAGAAGACCACTTCTCTCTTCAAATATAAAGCACATTTAGTAAGATTGGAGAATAGCAAATATAAAGCACGTTCTTCTGCCTTATAAAGTACTTGGTATTCGGCTAGAAATAGCCAAACTAAATTAGAATTTTTTCCAACTATGAATACTTTTATTGTTCATCTTCTCTGCAAATGATCTTGTAGAAGAAATCCCCATGCATTCTTTCGGTGTAGGACCAATTCCATTGCAATGTTAAAACGTTCAGTCTCAGATTGAAACTGAAAATTCATGACACCATAATAGAATTAGTGAGTTAACCTTGCAGGTAAAGATAACAGTTACAATGACATTTAAACTTATTCACTACAAAAAACTCATATTAAAATACAAAACCGTACCATGAGTGAACTCATTTGTTCCACTTTAGATGACTTCATGAAATTAATAACGTATACACCAAAAAAAGTGTCATTTTTTTGTCCTTTTTCAAAAAAATTTAAGAAAACTATATTTTAGCAATTGTTGTCATTGACACTTAATTGAAGTTCATTAAGAATAATTGAAGTTCCAATATCAATACTCTATTCAAATGTAAATATTCAACCTAAGTAACAAAATAAATGATAGCTAAACAAACGAAATATGCGTTCAATTGATCGTGTTCAAACTACATATTCTGTTAATAGTTAGTATATATGAAATTGTATTTTCCATTTGTAGAAAATTAATATGCATTTTATATCTACTAACGAATATATTACCTATGTTTTGAACAAATCAAACGAAAACTTATGGTGTGATATGTATATAGTTGCTCACATTTATACGTATGCCATCATCCTTTCTTTATGCTGCAAATTTCTTTTGATTATATTTAGGGGTAGCAATTATAAAATGTCGGCCTGAAAAAATGATATGAACCTAGCACGAAATTAATTGATTCGGATTGAGGTTTCGCGGGTTCGGGTCAGAATCGAGTCGCATGCGACGAACCCGAAATGAAAATGGGTTGAATTCGGGTCAAACCATGGGTGATCCGATACGACCCGATCACCTGTTTATGAATTAAAATTTTTTTTACCTAACTAACCTACGTTATTCTTTTTGTTTCAAAGGCATTAATCACTTAATTCTAAATGAATTTATTTAACTTATTTGAAGTTGAAATTATTATATTTGGACAAATAATGTATTATATTATTTTTTACTTTTATACTGCTTATATTTATTTTATATTTGGTTTGGAACAAAACACTTTTACGATGTTTTTAATTTATTTTAGATTTGGTTTGGGATTATTTATTTAAATTTTTATTACTTGATTATGTAATTAGTCTTGTGTGAATTACAAATTACAGTGGTAAATTAATAAATTAAAATTAAGTTTTGGGTCATTCGAGTCGTCCCGCCAACCTGAAATTTTCAGATTCGGGTCGGATATCCTGGCCCGTTTCGGGTTGGGGGGTCAAGTTCGGGTCAGCCAGTTTTCTATTATACCTGGATCTAAACTCGACCCGTCACTCCGATTTGGACCCGATTGCCACCCCTAATTATATTGTCAAAAAAATAGCATATTTTACAAATTATTCCAATTTATTTAGAAAATGTAACTAATTTCATTAGAAATTATGAAATGTAATCATGGTTTATTAATTTTTTACTAAATATAAATACAACTTATATCAGGTAAAAATATTTGACTTTGTTTTACTTCGATCAGAAAAACTTGTGGTAGAAATAACGAAATAGTGACAAGGGTGCAAATTTCAAATCAACAACCAACGTACACTTAATTACGCTAATTTTTTAGTTGACCAAACTAATATATGCCATAAAGTAACTAGATTTTAGCATTTATAAATTGGCCATTTTAGCAGTTTATATACCATTCACCTATAAAAAATATGATTATTATAAAATGACATTTTATAATAATTTACATACTATTTGCCAATTAAAAGTAAGTTTGATAAAAAAAATATATGCATATAAATCCATATTGTAAATGATACAAAATATATTTGAATCTCACGAAACTTAATCTATGGGTAAATTTACTATAGTTTTCAAAGATTATGCCACATTAGTACAAATTTAACTTTTATGCTTGTGACCTAGAAAATAAATTTATTAGAACACATAACCTTTGTAAATGATACATACATTTATTAAAATGCTTAAAACACATAACATTGATCAATGATACATACAACCATATATTATACATTTACGTTACCAACAATTACTAACTATAATATTAAGTTTCAATCCTTAACAAAAAAATCTTAGCATTATTTTAAATAAACTTTCTAATACTTGTTTCATATAAGTTTTTTTAAGTAAAATATTAAATTTATGCCACAAACTAGTAAGTCTTGATGATTAACCAAATTTACTATTCTATCAACAGGATTTACTATTAATCCGTGAAAACTTACTATTACTTGAACTAAACTTACTCTCCAAAAAGAAAGTTTCGAATATAGAGTAGTAATTTATTTTTTTTTAAAAGTAACTTTCAATTTTATTTCATTTTACTTTTTAAGACATAAATAGGATAACAAATTTCGTTACCATTTTCGATTTATTTTTTATTTGCTTTTAGCGACCATTTGATTATTTGATCGGTCTATCCACCTAAATAGGATAACACTTAAAAATAAGAAAGTAAGTTTTCTATCTAAAATAATAAGTTAACAGTAAAAAATTAGTAACTTTTATACTTCAAAAGGTACGTTGGAATAAATATTAAACTTACTTTTTAAATAGATAAATTACTACTTTATTTCCCAAACTTACTTTTTAGAGAGTAAGCTTAATTCAAGTAATAGTAAGTTTTTATACATAAATATTAACTCTTGATAAAGTAATAGTAAGATGATAAAGTTTTAATAAATTTACATATGAGACACAAGAAATAATAAGAGTTAAGGCCTAAACAAAATGAGAAATAATATAATAATAAAAATGACAAAATTAGTATAACAATTAATATAAGAAAATCAGTATGATCTTGATTTTTTTCCTTGGGAGATTGTTCATAAGAATAGGATCCAATAATTATAAATGAAAATCACATGCATGTATAATCTATTGTATAATTTAAATTATATTTAGTTCACCTATAAAATGGTCCTAAAATAATTAGTACACTATGATAAATGTTATTTTAACAACAAAAAAATTTTTTTTACTAAAAGTCGGAAATATCCATGACATATGTATGAGGGATATTTTACCATTTTTGTATCTCACATCCAATCATGAAAGTTAATTTGAGAAAAACTATTTTTGACAATCGAATTATTTTGAATTTAACCAACAAGTTGAGATTTTTTAAACAATAAAAGTGAAATATTTTGGGAACTTAGTTGTTTATTTTCCCGTAATAAAAAATTTAAAATATGACAAATTATTCTTACATATTTTATAAGGTCATATGCAAAAAAAAAAAGTTTTCATAGTATATTTAAAATGCTTCGAACATATAACATTTATAAATGATACGTACAATTGTAAGTTTCTTTAAGTAAAATAGTAAATTTATGCCACAAACTATTAAGTTTTGATGATTAACCAAATTTACTAATCTATCAACAATATTTACTATTAATCTATAAAAACTTACTATTACTTGAACTAAACTTACCCTCCAAAAACTAAGTTTCAGATATAGAGTAATATTTTACTTCATAAAAAATAAAGTTAGTTCCATATTTATTCAAGTTTACTTTTTGAGACATAAAAGTTACTAATATATCGAGTTAACTTACTATTCTTTATGGAAAACTTACTAACCACCATTTTAGGTACTATTTCATTTAGATGACCAGTACAACAGGTCATCAAATGGTCGCTAAAAGTATTTTTACCTGTTATATCAGGTAAAAATAGTTTCGTTACCATAACTATCGTTACTTCAGACTTTTCCTATATATATATATATATATATATATATATATATATATATATATATATATATATATATATTGGTTCTGATTTTATGAGACTCTCAAAATTTCCATTAAGTATGAAAAAAAAATTAACTCTCGTATGAGGAATATTTACATAATGTGGATTTATAAAGACAAATATATGTGCGATCAAAATTACTTTTTTCAACAATTTAAAAAGAGAGCGTGTCCATTAGGGTTGATGCAATACCTATCTTCTAGGTTAAGGATTAAAACTTAAAAGCATTATTGAGTTCCTCTAAAGCTTGGTGCCATTTCACTTTCCACCTTCATATCTTTTCAGTTGCACTTTCCTCCTTTTTTTTTTTTTTTTTCCCTTTTGGATGAACTTTCCTCGTTTGACTAACAGTCGATACTGACGACAAAAATGTTACTTCAAAGTAATAATTAGTAGAAACGATACTTGAAAAGAAAAGAAAAAGATCCAATATTTTTTGGTTTCGAAAAATCACATGCCTTGGATTCTATGTAAATTCATGTACAAAAAGAATTATAAAATAATACCAAAAAAATACCATGTACTTTTAACAACCAAAAAAAAAATTGTTGAAAATTTAAAATGTCCAAGATAATGCATATGAGAGATATTTTACCATATTTGTATCAAACCTCGGTAATTTTTTTATGATAAAACCTAACGTGGTTTGACAGACGGGTAAAAATGCAGCAAAAATAACGTTCAGGTAAAAAGTACTATAAATAAAAAAAACCAAACGTCAGACGACTTGGTGTTTAGTGCCCCTGACCTGTGAAATAACCACTCTAAAGTCTCAAGTCTTCTCCCCTAAGAAAGAAAGGAAAAAGAAAAAAGTCGCATATCGAAAGTGTCGGCCAAAACTCAAAAGCAAAGACACACTTCTCAAGCCAAGACCCCCGGCTTCCTCTGCTTATTGGATTCCCTAACGTGCAGCGAAACGATTGAAAAAGCTACTAAAGCAGTACTATTTTAGCATCTCAAAGCCAATCTGATCTCCAAACCGTCTTGAATTCTTGATGCATGCAACTACTTCTTCAATTCTTGCCTTTATATATACGTAGTGCTTCCTCAGTTCAACTCCAAATCATATATTCCCCATTTGCTATTAAACCACTAGCGCAGTTGACAAAACTTGATAAGCCATGGCTGCAGCAGCCTCGTCAGTGAGTTTGAAGCTTTTGATCGACACCAAAAGCTGCAAAGTCCTATTTGCCGAAGCTAATAAAAGCACAGTTGATTTCCTTTTCCACGTCCTGTCTTTGCCAGTGGGAACTGTTATAAGGCTTCTGGGCAAGCAAGGAATGGTAGGTTGCGTGGCCAACCTATACGAGAGCATTGAGAGTCTAAACGAAACATATATACAACCAAACCAGAGCAAAGACACCCTTCTCAAGCCAAAAGCCGCTGCTTCCATTCCTCTCTTGTCCCTCAACGATGGACAAACTGAAGCTGTTTTCTACCGGTGCAGCCGTGGTTACAATTGCAACTATGTATCTGATGACCCCAAGGCGAAATGTCCTCAGTGCAAGAATGTCATGACCAACAGCATGACATATGTTGCTCCCCCAGCAGTGAAAGAAGCTGCTGCAGGGGACGAAGGGGGATTTGTCAAGGGTGTGGTGACCTATATGGTTATGGATGACTTGGTGGTGAAGCCCATGTCTACTATCTCTAGCATTGCACTGCTCAACAGGTTTAATGTGAAGGAAGTTGGTGCCCTGGAGGAGAAGGAGGTGAATCTTGGCATGAATGAGGTGGGCAAATCAATTAAGAACTTATTGTTTATTGTTAATGTGGGATGGTTAATTAATTTAATGAAATGAGTTTGACAATATCATGAGTTTGTTCTCTCTTCACTGCAGGCATTGATGTTGCTCAAGGCATCTTTTGAGTCCAAGACGGTACTCACAAATGTCTTCTTGAAGAATACGGGAAAAATGAAAGATTCTCTTGCTGCTACATTCTCGGAGTCAAATCTTGGTTTATGAAAATATTGAAGCCTTTGACGGGCCTAAACCTGGGAAGTTGGAGGGGCCAGGTGGTCAATCCAACATAACAGATTGTGACTAGGTGCAGTCGGTCGTTGTCTTGTGATTTCTATCGATTAGACTCCTAATAGATCAATTGAATCTTGAGTTTGATTTGTAAGATAGATTATATATAATTAATCACATTTTCACTCATAATCCCGTGTAAGATGCCAGAAAGAATTGAAATTAAAGTCATTAAAGATTATGTTTTTTGGTTTAAAGAAACAAACATGTTTCAGCATATCATCATCATCATCATCTTTTGTACGATTGCTTTTGGCTCCTTCCCATAATGATCCCCTCATCATCAAGCTACAGATATGCTGAGATTCTTCTTCTTATATGTTATACATACATACACACACACACATATATATATATATATATAATATTTTTTTTTTAAAAAATTTCGGTTCTGATTTTATGAGACTCTCAAAATTTCCATTAAGTATGAAAAAAAAAAATTAACTCCACAGAGAACTGATCGTATGAGGAATATTTACATAATGTGGATTTATAAAGACAAATATATGTGCGATCAAAACTACTTTTTTTTCAACAATTTAAAAAGAGTGTCTATTTTTTTTGTCAAAAGCATTTGTATATATTTCATTTACTAACTTGATACCACAAACTCAGTTACAACTGGGTAACTACCCAAGAGATCCTTTTGTGCGCTCTCTTTGAGCCGCATGGGAAAGTTTCCTTCCCAATCCACTTCTCTAACTAGCTAGTTTGACAGCAAACTTTGCTAGATTGTGTATTAACAAAAAGAAAAGGTACATTTGTCACAAACAGACTTTTCAAGTTTTGTATGTCCTCTAGTAAAACAGCAACTCTGGAATCTCTGGTGCTTTGTTCCATTATCATTTCCACTACTGCTTTGCAATCTGATTGGAGCTCTACTACCTCCACTGAGCTTCCTTTGCCTTTCTATATCATTCCCATTTTGATTGCTACAACTTCCGCCAATCTACTACCTCCACTGGTTTTCCTTGTTGCTTTTGCCCGTGCTTTTATTTTCCCTCCTTTTCCAGTCCCTTGCTACCCCTCCAATTCCACATTTGTCCATTCCTGCTGAGAATGCAGCATCTGTGTTGATCCTTATCAAGAGAGTGTGTCTATTAGGGTTGATGCAATACCTATCTTCCAGGTTAAGGATTAAAAGCACTAAGTTCCTCTAAAGCTTGGTGCCATTTCACTTTCTACCTTCATTTCTTTTCAGTTGCACTTTCCTCCTTTTCTTTTTTTGTTGGACGACCTTTCCTCGTTTGACTAACAGTCAATACTAACGACAAAAATGTTACTTCAAAGTAACAATTAGTAGAAACGATACTTAAAAAGAAAAGAATTGGATTCTATGTAAAATGCAAAAAAAACTCATTTCATGTACAAATTTAAAAAATTATAAAATAATACCAAAAAGAATGCCATGTACTTTTAACATCAACAAAAAAATTTTGTTGAAAATTTAAAATGTCCGAGACAATGCATATGAGAGATATTTTATTATATTTGTATCTCACCTCCTTTTATTGATGTTAATTTGAGGAAGAATATATTTAACAACAGCAAAGTTTTGAATTTAGTTAACATGATGAGATTTCTTTTTTAATAAAAATGGGATATTTTGAAAACTTATTTTTACTTCCCAAAAAGAAAAGAAAAGAAAAAATTACATTGCCAAATATAGGTGATATGAGAAGTTTGGGTTGAGAGAAGAGAAAAAAAGATGAAAGAAAATGTAAATTTGAAACTTTCGATATTTTTTATGATAAAACCTAACGTGGTTTGACAGACGGGTAAAAATGCTGCAAAAAATGTTCAGGTAAAAAGTGTAAATAAAAAACCAAACGTCAGACGACTTGGTGTTTAGTGCCCCTGGCATGTAAAATAAGCACTCTCAGTCTCAAGTCTTCTGCGCTCTTTGGCTTGGTGGTCGCTGTCAAACATCAAGGCTTGGTGGTGGTGTTGGGAGGCCAAGAGTTAAACCTTGTCTCAAATCAATTTATCATTATATGTGACTGTTTTTATTGATTTTTTTCGATGAAGCTTCTACTTATAGCAATTCTCCTCCCTTTATATTAGGATAGATTAGGTTACGGGAACGTTAATGTAACGAAGAAAAAAAAAAGGTCTCAAGTCTTCTCCGCTAAGAAAGAAAGGAAAAAGAAAAAAAAGTCGCATATCCAAAGTGTCGGACAAAACTCAAAAGTAAATCTACCTCAGAAATGCAGTAATTTTACCTTGTACTCTTTCAGGCCCTCGAAAAAATTTTAGTGGAACACAAATACACTTAAAAGATGATGAAGATCTAAATCTGCAAATAGCACAAGGAAAGTTCAACTTGACGACGCAAAGATCTTGCAATCGGCAACATGAATTTGTCCTCTCAATTCTCCGTTTTTCTATGCAATGACCAACAACGCAACAATAATATGATTCTGTTCAACAACGTGAATAAAGATTCTAACTTTCAAAGTTAACGGGGATGGAAATGCAGAAAATCAAAGGTGAAATTAAAGAAACAGTTACTAGAGTAGTAAAATTGATGAGAACAAGAAGCCCCCAACCCCAATTAAAATTTATTAGCAAATTTATTCTGTCTAATGTTACTGCGAGAGTACGAAGAAACAGGATTACGGGTTAGTTATACTTTTAAGGGGTCATTACGGGTTATTTTGCCATAAATGCGAAAGATGAACACTTCGTCGAGTAAGAGGAGCTGGAGCTGCTGGTTGCATCCAAAGCACAAAATTTTGCGTTAATATATGTTCCTTTTCCGCACGCAGCGTTGCATCGGCGAGCTCCCAGACATGAGGATTTGAAACTTATACTAGAATTCCACTTTCATTAGGAAACTTTAATAAAACTGAGAACCGAGTTTTAGACGCTGGCCCAACTAGTCAGAATCCTATTTGGTGCCCCCTTGGCGGGATAAGCTCAGACATACTGCAGTATCCGAACAGCATTCGAGGGAAGTTGGTGGATCTTGGCATGGAACACTTTAAGCGATGTATTAGGGAAGGTCTCCCAACCTTATTTTTTCCAATTCCATGAGTTTTGAATTCGAAATCTCATGGTTAAGAGATGCAAACTCTTCCACTTGCACCAACGTCCATTGGGTTTTGATTATTGTTGTCTAGTTTGATGTATTCCCATGCTAAGTCGCTGGTCAGTTTACGTGCTTGTTATAGCGTACTATATGTTGATCTGTGATTCGAGTGGCATCTATAGACTCTTCCAAATTAGGAGTCTTTCATTTCTTGAATCCTTAAGAAAAATGTATTGATTTCAAATTCCAAATTCGTAGTAATTTTAACCTTTCTTTTTACCTCGATTAGCGTATCATATTTCTAGTCAGATGTACTAGCTGCATCTCGTGGATGCTTTGGACGAAAACAACCAACTGAATGCTTTTCTAGGAGTGAAGATGCCTAATTGGAGCTAGTCATATTTAAGCTGTTGAACGGTTTAATTATATATTTAAGCAATAGAAAACTGTACTTTTTCTATTGAATCAATGAGGAAACGTTGCATTCCTGTGAAATGCAATGTCAATGAGCTAAACTTAGTTTATTTACTCATTGAGGGAGAGCCTTGAAGCTGGTCAAGGGGGATCTTCTATGGACTTTGGAATCAAAAAAAGTGCTTGGTACGTCTTCCTGGACCATGTGGGTAAACAAGACCTTGTTATTTTCCTTCTGCAGTTCCATCTGAAAAAGGCCATTAATGTGGTATCATGATATGATCTCTCCTGTTCTGAATTATCACAAGGTGCTAAAACTGCAAAACGGTGAGATTTTTCCAATTGGTCAATTGAACGTTGAGCAGTCGAGGGGTTTTTAGTTTTTACATTCCAAGTTCCAGCTGTTACACTTAGAGCATTACACAAGAAGAATCGATTCTTGTGTTTAATTTGAAAATAACTTCTGTTCATTTCCAATGCTGGAGCCGCCAGTGGGAACTGCAGCATTCAGCATCTCAATGCCAACTAATCACTCCTACCTAATCTCGAAACCATCTTCATGCACACATTACTTCTTCAATTCCGTCCTATATATGTACGTGGTGCTTCAACCCTTCAACTCCACATCATATATTCCCCATTTGCTATTAAACCACTAGCATAGTTGACAAAGCTTGAGAAGCCATGGCTTCGGCAGCCTCGAAAGTGAGTTTGAAGCTTTTGATCGACACCAAAAGCCGCAAAGTCCTATTCGCCGAAGCTAATAAAAGCACAGTTGATTTCCTTTTCCATATCCTGTCTTTGCCGGTGGGAACTGTTATAAGGCTTCTGGGCAAGCAAGGAATGGTAGGTTGCGTGGCCAACCTGTACGAGAGCATTGAGAGTCTAAACGAAACATATATACAACCCAAGCAGAGCAAAGACACCCTTCTCAAGCCAAGAGCCCCTGCTTCCATTCCTCTCTTGTCCCTCCACGATGGACAAACTGAAGCTGTTTTCTACCGGTGCGGCTTTGGTTACAATTGTAACTATGTATCTGATGACCATAGGGCAATATGTCCTCAGTGCAAGAATGTCATGACCAACAGCATGAAATATGTTGCACCCCCAGCAGTGAAAGAAGCAGCTGCAGGGGACGAAGGGGGATTTGTCAAGGGTGTAGTGACCTATATGGTTATGGATGACTTGGTGGTGAAGCCCATGTCTACGATCTCTAGCATTGCACTGCTTAACAGGTTTAATGTGAAGGAAATAGAAGCCCTTGAGGAGAAGGAGGTGATTCTTGGCATGAATGAGGTGGGCAAATCAATTGAGAACTTAACTAAATGTTAATGTAGAATATTTAATCGCAGAGGTGTAAATAATATCTTGAGTTCTTTTTTTTTTCAACAGGCACTGAAGTTGCTGAAGACATCTCTGGAGTCCAAGTGCGTACTCACAAATGTCTTCATGAAGAGTGCGGGAAAATAAGAATGCTGCCTTACCGTTACATTCCATGTGTTATTATGGTTTCGAGTTGAAGTTCTAGACTTTTGAATATGAATCAATATGTTAATGTGGAATTCTCAGAATTAATATGAATCCATGATTCAACTTTATTACGTCTTGACGCGCTAGTAGTTCGAATTACGTGCTTGATTTTGTGTTTGCTTGCATCTCGGCATATCGAGGCGCTGAAAGTAATTTCGTGGACAATCGTAGCGGTTTACCTTCACCAAGAACGATTTATGTATGGGTTGCAGAGTTTCTCTGTCACATTTCATTTGCATGTGAAGGAAAATTTAGTATGGTTCATATTCGTCTTCAAGAAGACAAAATGATAAGTACACAAATGATTGATGCCCAAGTCGACACATACCTATCATGTAAACTAGAAACCCTGACTGATTGGCGGATAATACGTCCAGACGGGTATACCAGCTGCATGTCATGGATGCTTCGGATGAAAGCAAGCAACCGATTGAAAATGGGCGTAGCCGATGAAGGCTCGCCTGAAAGTTTCAGTCTTTGCGATTACAGCAATGAGATTGTTTAGTAAAAGCAAATATAAATACTAATCCCCAGACATAATCAAGTTTCTGGTGACCTTTTGTATGTTGATATGAAAAGCCTAATTGACATTTCAAACGATATCTATTATTTCTTCAGATCACAATTTATTACTGCACTACCGGATGGCGACTACTTTTTAATAACTGAGATCTTACTGTGTCAAGGAAATCAAAATTATCTCACGCTGATATGTCTTCATCCCCTATTGGAGCTCAAGCTGCAAAAGGAACAATAGTGATTCGTGCCGGCAAAATTTCAGCACTAACAACTAAAATTTTTTGGCTTATGTATAGCTACAAGACTCGCTCCAATGCTTTAGCGATGCAAGCCTGATCTGCCATCTTTCTTATAATATCGCAGCGATTTGTAGCCAACAAGTCATCATACTCAACAAAACAGAGAAGATTTCTGCAATAAACAAAACTGCCAACAAAATGGTCACTTGAGAACAGAGCGGAACTGCACATCAAAATATACTGGGGACTATTTTTTTCCGATTCCAAACGATGTTTGCTTGCCTTGTTTTTTTTTTTTTTTTGTTTTCCCCTTTTGTAGATTTCCATGAGAATTCTACTCTTCTCAACGAGAATATGGAGATGGTGAGAATCATGACTGTGATCTCTTCATTTTCGAAATATCATAAGGTTCTAAACTGCAAAATTTTCCAATTCAAATGTTTGAAGATAGATTAAAAATAATTAATCACATTTTCACTCATAATCCCATATAAGATGCCAGAAAGAATTGGTTTAAAGAAACAAACATGCATGTTTCAGTATATCATCATCATCATCTTTTGTACGATTACTTTTAGCTCCTTCCCATAATGATCCCCTCATCATCAAGATACAGATATGCTGAGATTCTTCCTCTTTAATTTATACATATATATATATATATATATATATATATATATATATATATATATATATATATATATATAATATTTTCTTAAATTTTCGGTTCTGATTTTATGAGACTCTCAAAATTTCCATTAAGTATGAAAAAAAAAATTAACTCCAGAGAGAACTGATCGTATGAGGAATATTGACATAATGTGGATTTATAAAAACAAATAGATGTGCGATCAAAACTTACTTTTTTCAACAATTTAAAAAGAGAGTGTGTCTATTAGGGTTGATGCACTACCTATCTTCTAGGTTAAGAATTCAAAGCATTAAGTAAGTTCCTCTAAAGCACTACCTATCTTCTAGGTGCCATTTCACTTTCCACCTTCATTTCTTTTCAGTTGCACTTTCCTCCCTTTTTTTTTTTTTTTTTCTTTTGGACGAACTTTCCTCGTTTGACTAACAGTCAATACTAACGACAAAAATGTTACTTCAAAGTAAAAATTAGTAGAACCGATGCTTAAAAAGAAAAGAAAAGGATCCAATATTTTTTGGTTTCGAAAAAATCACAACACCTTGGATTCTATGTAAAACATAAAATAAAATCATTTCATGTACAAAAAAAATTATAAAATAATACCAAAAAAATACCATGTACTTTTAACAACAAAAAAAAAATTTGTTGAAAATTTAAAATGTCCAAAACAATGCGTATGAGAAATATTTTATCATATTTGTATCAAACCTCGATATTTTTTTATGATAAAACCTAACGCGGTTTGACAGAAGGGGAAAAATGCAGCTAAAACAACGTTCAGGTATAAAGTACTATAAATAAAAAACCAAACGTTGTCAGACGACTTGGTGTTTAGTGTCTTAACTCTTAACTCAGTGGTCAGCAGGGAGGAACTTAAGTCTGAACGGTAGGTGAGAGTTCAAACCTCACCTATAATAAAAAAAATTTAAGGGCAATACCTTAGCATTTTCTTAGTTTAGTTGGATCAGGTTATACAATATATCGTTGTTAGCAAAAAAAAAAAAAAAAAAAAAGTCTTAACTCTTAAGTCTTCACCCCTAAGAAAGAAAGGAAAAAGAAAAAAGTCACATATCGAAAGTGTCGGCCAAAACTGAAAAGTAACAACATCCCCACTTTTGTTTTGACAGCTCCGTTCCGTACTGGTTTTCCGATATATATTTACGGCAATACTAGTATCATCAATTGCAAAAGCAATCCTTCATTTACATTCACAGAGAAGTGTTTGACAAGTCATCATGGGAGCCTCCAAGATAAGCTTGAAACTTTTGATCGACACCGATAACAACAAACTTCTGTTCGCAGAAGCCGGGAAAAACTTCGTAGATTTCTTACTTCATATCCTCTCCTTGCCATTGGCTACTGTTACAAGGCTTCTCCGCGACCAAGAGACCATTGGTTCCCTGGAAAATCTGTACCATAGCATCGAAAACCTCGATGAAGCCTACATCCGGCCAAACCAAAACAAAAACATCTTGCTAAGTCCAAAACCACCTGCCGGCGCTCCTGCCACTCTATTGGGGCTCGAGGATTCGCCGAAACCGGAGATAACAGAGGGCAAAGCATTTTATAAGTGCGGCAATAATTGTTCCACGTATGTGAGTAATGTGACCGATGACCCTCGAGCTGTTTGCCCCAGTTGCAGGGGCACCATGACTTCGGTCATGACATATGTAGATCCCCCACAAACTGGTGGCAGCGATGAGGACAGTAAAGAAGGAGGATTTGTGAAGGGGGCGGCGACTTACATGATCTTGGACGACTTGGAGGTGAAGCCCATGTCTGCCATTTCCAGCATTGCTCTGCTTAACGAGCTTAATGTCAAGGATCTAAGCGCCCTCAAAGAAAAGGAAGTGGATCTTAGCAAGAATAAGGTAGGTCGAGAATTCTATGCAAGTATTTTGCTTGTTACTGCTACCGATTAATCTATCCTCTCTTTTCTTAAGAAGAAAATTTCCAGTACTAGCTGATATAACGCAGCTTCATGTACTTGTTCCTTTCTTGGGTTGTCGTTTCACAAGCTTACTTCTTTTTTCTTTCAATGTTAGTTTACTTCTTTTTTTTTTTCTTTCAATGTCTTCCCTTTATTTAGCGGACAAAACTTGACCGTTCATGACCATGAGTTAATTTCAAGCTTTTCTTATGTGACAGGCCTTGAAGCTGCTTAAGGCATCTTTGGAGTGCAAGACAGTGCTTACCAGTGTCTTATTGGATGTCAAGTCTAAAACTCCATGAGAATTGTCTAGTATTTCACTTTTGGATAACAATTTTATGTTGGAATCAATGACTATTTTGATCCTTTTTTGCTTAATTAAGGTACCAACTCTAAATGATTACTTCCACTGGTATGTAATTCATTTCACCCTAATGCCTTATCAGCATGCGCATATGTCACAAGAGTTTCTTAATCGTCAACCTTGACTGATGTTTTAAATTATATCTAAAAACAACCGAGTTCGATGCGCTTAAACTGACAAAAAAAAAACACTGGATTTCTGCTTTCATAGCCTTTCTCTGACTCTCTGGCTATAGTTATCAGGCTTCTGAGAAAGAAAGGCATGGTTTGTTGCTCGTCTAACCTATATAACAGCATAGAAAATCTTAGTGAAACACAAAGGTGTGTTTCTCAAAAGACAGAGACATCAGAGTTGGGATGGACATTCACCATATAAGAGGATGCATACAAGACACAATTCTTAGGTGGAATCGTTATAAATCATGCGTTAACAGTTTGTATTATCCATTACATGGTTGAAATTTTTATAGCACAGACATCTTCAAAGATACAACAAGCCTATGCTTTGCGAATTTTCTTTTCCTCGATGCCTGATTGGGAAAACCTCACTCTCGAGATTTGTAGGACATCCTCAATTTTAACTACCCTCCTTTCCAGCAAAACCATGCCATCTCTGAGGCAGTCCTTGTCTTCTCATTTTCCTCCAGCGTGCGACATAGTTCATCAGCCTCCTACCTGCCAAAGAACTCCAAAGATTAAGACAACTTTTACTGGTCAAGAAAAGCCAAGAACTTCATACTAAAAAAAAAAAACCGAAAAAGTTTACTGGTCATGATACCGGATTCTTGAACACAGCAACTTGTCATCAAGCAATAAGCGCTTCGTCCAAGATGGCTTTCCATTTGCGGATCCTCTGTCCTCTTTTCGTTGATTAATGGTCGATTCTAAGGCATATAAAGTAGTCAATGCTAGCTTATTTTCCTCTGCCTACCATAAGAGAGAACACAAATATAACGATGAAGAGATTTAAAGTAAACACAATTACTTAGTTTCATGTTCATTATCATTGACAGAATATTACAGCTGATTAAGCATCAAATGAGAACCTGTGAGCTGATCACGGCATCAATGGACGTATAATAGCAAGTCTCAGATCCAGTGTGGCAAGCTGGTCCATCAGGCTTCCCAAGATATATTATCTGAAAATTTTCTTGGGCTTTTTGTGGCACATTCTTGGCGTCGCAACAAGCCATATTTCTTGTAGTGAAAGTAGGTCCTGAACGTTGATTTCAATAAAAGCAGAGGGCAGTAATCTGAGATACAATTGATCCACACTTAAAAGAGCAAAAAACTTACAGAGTCAGGATCACAATCTAAGAAGATATCACTGACATTATTGAAATTCAGGGAAGTCTCTCCCTTTGTCCACAAAGTTGATCGCGACCTTCTATAGAATGTTGCCTTACGTGAAGATATGGTTGTCAGAAGTGCAACTTTATTGGCAAAGCCTTGCATTAAGACAGCTCCTGTATCAACATTTTGAGCTAGTGCCACAGCCAGCCCTTTGTCATCCCATTTGATGCTATCTAAAAGTAAGTCAAACTATAATACTAGTAAGGTACAAGCAGCTTTAACCAAGCAAGTATAAGAGATCACCAAGGAAATATGCACTATATTCAAAGTGGAGAACTGGAGGAAGCTTTTTGGGTTAGACATTATCACTCCAGCATTCTGCAAATATGCGGAGATATAAATACTTCCTTCGTTCCACTTTGATAGTCCTGTTTTTCTTTTTCATCTATCTCAAATTATAGTTCACTTTTCATTTGAAAAATGTAGTTATCTTTTAATTTCTCTAAAATACCCTTATTCAAGATAGGTTGTTATTAGTATAAACTGCATTTGGGTTTTTTACCAAGTTTGTCTACTTGTAATAAACTGCATTTGGGTTTTTTACCAAGTTTGTCTGCTACAAGTTTTTAAAAAACTTTAGCTACAGTAACCTTAAAAAACTTTTCAAAAATTTTAAACTATGCACTTCAAAATATTCAAAAATTTACACACTTCAAAAATTTTTTAAAAAACTTCTACATTAAAATTTTAGACAAACATCTAAAAAACTCACTTGCCAAACAGGGTCATAGATTGTTAATCTACCTCATTTAATACATTTAGATTTTTCAAAACATATTAATATATGAAAAGTCAGTTTTATTATTCTTTCAGGCCAAAATGTGAAATAATGTAAAATGAGAATTGATTATTTCTTGATCATCAATTCAAGTTCTTATAAACCATCAATTTAAGTTTCCATGACTAATTAATACTATAAAATTGTACTCTATTTAATGTAAGAGTATTTTAGAAAAATAACAATCTAAATTTATTGTTCAAACAAAGTTAACTTCTTTTTTTTTAAACTATGTGGACAAAAATTAGAACTATCAAAATGGGACGAACGTAGAATATAGTAAATAGAAAACAACCCCATAACATCGAGAACGTTTTCAGTGTCTTCTGTTTACCTGCCGCAAATGACGAGACAAAGGACAGTTGAAATAGCATCAATTTAAAGGAAGACATTATGGTGTTCAGATTAGTCGTTAACCTCTGCGAGGCAAGGAAAGTGGCAGGCACCTGCCAATGTCTGGCCGCAAGAAGATAACTGATTTTTGTCAATAGTAACAAAAGAATACTCCCATTTCCAAACTAGATGAAAGACAACAGACAAATCTAAGTTACAGTCACCCCCCTAAAAAGCAAGCCATTTATATGTTGGAATATGGGGTTCAGATGTAGCTCGTGCAGTCATTGAGGTTGACTAACAGGCAACGATGAACTCCTACCATTATTTCCTGTTCCAGACAGTCAACGGTCCCCACAACCAGGAAGTGGTAGACACCCGCCATGTCTCAAAATTAAAGGGGGGAACAAAATCTCGAGACTTAATAATGTACCAAGCAATCCAAACTAACTGATTTAATCACGCAATTGGTAAGCAGCTGCCCATATATCGATTGTCAAATGTCGACAGACAAATCACCCAGCTCCCCTCTTTTCTGAAGAAACACAATCTAGGTAGGGTCCAGAAGCTCGAAAGAAATCAAGTTAACAAACTCAAAATCACCATAACTTCAGTTTGAGCAGATGACATAGTTGGCGGTCACCAGAAGCTTGAGAGAAATTAAATCAACATAGGGCAGTTCAGCATTTAGGAAGCTCATATGCTGAACACAGTTACATACTATTAAAGAAAACTTTCGTCATATATCCAACGAAAAAATGCTACTGAAGCACTATGCCCAATCCGCTTCTTCAGTCCAGACTCCAGAGTAAAAGTTTACAAAGAGAAGTAGAGTGGACTTTCCACCTGTCACACTGAAGAGCATTAGATAAGAAGAATCAATTCTAATATTTAATTCGAGAACAACTTCTGGGAACCATAGTAGTAGTATTTAGCATCTCAAAGCCAACTAATCATGCCAATCTAATCTCCAAACCGTCTTGAATTCTTGATGCATGCACCTGTACTTCTTCAATTCTGCCCTTTATATATAGGTAGTGATTCAACAATTCAACTCCGAATCCCACATTTCACATTATCTATTGTACTACTAATTGACCAAGCTTGAGAAGCAATGGCTGCAGCCTCGAAAGTTAAGCTGAAACTTTTGATTGACACCAAAAATCAAAGAGTACTATTTGCCGAAGCTAACAAGAACACGGTTGATTTCCTTTTCTTTATCCTTTCTTTGCCTCTGGGTACTGTTGTAAGGCTTCTCAGCAACAAAGGAATGCTGGGTTGCTTGGGCAAACTATACGAGAGTGTTGAGAATCTAGATGAGAATTACATACAGCCCAACCAAAGCAAAGGCACACCTCTCAAGCCAAGACCACCCGCTTCCTCTGCTGCGTCGACTCCTCTATTGTCCCTAACGTGCAGCGAAACGATTGAAAAAGCTACTTACACTTGTTCCAGGGGTTCGGGTTATTGAATGGGCAGGCATTTCACCGATGATACTCGTGCTATTTGCCCCGTATGCCGTTTCTCTATGACCACGAAGATGAGCTATGTTGCACCCCCAGGAGTAGTGAAAGAACAATCCGGTGAGGGAGGCGAAGGTGGCGGATTTGTGAAGGGTTTGGTAACCTACATGGTTATGGATGACTTGGAGGTGAAGCCGTTGTCTAGTGTTTCTAGTATTGCTCTGCTTGATAAGTTCAATGTGAAGGAGGTTGGCGCTTTAGAAGAAAAGGTTGTGAATCTTGGCTTGAACGAGGTAGGCAGTTGCGATACATGAGTTTGTAGTAGCTAATAGTATATTAAGCTTGCTTGTACAGTTGTACGTAACGTATAATTTCTTGATTTCTTCCTGAACAGGCCTTGGACTTGCTCAAGACATCTTCGGAGTCGAAGAAGGTGCTTACTGATGTCTTCTTGATTGGCAAAAGTAACCCAAAAAAGAGGAAGAGGACCGTCAAGTGACGCCTAAAACAATTTTGGGGTGTAATCAATCCAATCCAATGATCCCTAATTTCATGTTGTCTAGTTTGATGCATTCCTGTGTTAAGTCGTTGGTCAGTTTAGTTAAAGCATCAGCATGAATCTGCCTGTTTCGTGCTTGTCATAGCGTACTATTTGTTAATCTGTAATTCGCGTGGCATTTCTAGGGCTGCAAACGAGCCGAGCCGAGCCGAGTCGAGCTTTGAGTTAATCGAGCCGAGCCTCGACTAAATTTTACCAAGCTCGAGCTCGAACTCGAGCTCGACGAGCCGGCAAATTTCGAGCTCGAGCTCGAAAAAAAATAAAAAATAAATATTTTATTTAAAAAATAAATAAATAAAATAATATTTTTTTCTTAATAAATAATAAAATATTAAGGACATATACGTAATTTTACTATGAAAATAAAAAATAAAAAAAATAAATATAATATACGTAATTTTATTATTAAATAAAAATAAAAAATATATATATATATTTATATATCCGAGCTTAATATTCTGAGCTCGAACTTGACTCGAGCGGCTCGATTCGTTTGCAGCCCTAGGCATCTCTAGACTCTTCCAAATTATGCGTCTTCTATTTCTTGAATCCTAAGGAAAAAAATGGTGATTTCAAAGTTGAAATTCGAAGTCATTTTTTAGCCTTTTCTTTTCTTGATTAGCCCATTATATATATTATCGGATGTACCAGCTGCGCACCATGGATACTTCGGATGAAAACTGGCAATTGAATGCTTTTCCTGGAGTTAAGATCTCCAATCGAAAATTGCTGTAGCGGATAAATGCTCGCTCGGAAGTTTCAGTCTTTGCGATTCTGGTAATGAGAGAGTTCAGTAAAAACAAACACAAATACTAACCTCCAGAAATAGTCAACTTTCTGGTGACCTTTTGTTTGTTGATTTAAAATGCCTAATTGACATTTCAAATGATATGTATCACTGCTTGTGCATAATACATCACAATTTATTAGCACACTAACAACTAAATTTTTTAGCTTATTTATAGCTGAAAGACTCGCTCTAATAGTTGAGGGGTGCAAGCCTGATCTGCCGTTCTTGTTAAAATATCAAACTGATTTGTTGCCAACAAGTCATACTCAACAAACCAGAGAAGATTTCTGCAATAAACGAAATTGCCAACAAAATGGTCACTTGAGAACAGAGCGGAACTGCACATCAAAGTATACTGGGACTATTTTTTTTTTATTCCAAACAATGTTTGCATGCCTTTTTTTTTTTTTAACCTTTTGTAGATTTCCATGAGAATTCTACTCTTCTAAACGACAATACGGAGATGGTGAGAATCATGACTGTGATCTCTTCTTTTCGAAATATCGTAAGGTTCTAAACTGCAAAATTTTCCAATTCAAATGTCGATCAGTATACTAAAGCAGTATGCCCAATCTGCTTCTTGAGGGCAGAGTAAAAGTTTACAAAGAGAAGTCGAGTGGACTTTCCACCTTTCACACTGAAGGGCATTAGATAAGAAGAATCTTTTCTGATATTTAATTCGAGAACAACTTCTGGGAACCATAGTAGTAGTATTTAGCATCTCAAAGCCAACTAATCACGCCAATCTAATCTCCAAACCGTCTTGCATTCTTGATGCATGCACCTGTACTTCTTCAATTCTTTCCTTTATATAGACGTAGTCCTTCAACAGTTCAACTCCACATCCCACATTTCACATTGTCTATTGGACTACTACTAATTGACAAAGCTTTGATAAGCATGGCTGCAGCAGCCTCGTCGTCAGTGAGTTTGAAGCTTTTGATCGACACCAAAAGCCGCAAAGTCCTATTTGCCGAAGCTAATAAAAGCACAGTTGATTTCCTTTTCCATGTCCTGTCCTTGCCAGTGGGAACTGTTATAAGGCTTCTGGGCAAGCAAGGAATGGTAGGTTGCCTGGCCAACCTATACGAGAGCATTGAGAGTCTAGACGAAACTTATATACAACCCAACCAGAGCAAAGACACCCTTCTCAAGCCAAGAGCCCCTTCTTCCGCTGCTGCTTCTATTCCTCTCTTGTCCCTCAACGATGGATTAACCGGAACTGTCTTCTACAGGTGCGGCCATCGTCACGATTGCAACTTTGCGTCTGATGACCCCAAGGCGATATGTCCCCGGTGCAAGAAAGCCATGACAATCAGAATGACATATGTTGCTCCCCCAGCAGCGTGAGAAGCAAGTGCAGGGGACGAAGGGGGATTTGTGAAGGGTGTGGTGACCTATATGGTTATGGATGACTTGGTGGTGCAGCCCATGTCTACTATTTCTAGCATTGCATTGCTTAACAGGTTCAATGTGAAGGAAGTTGGAGCCCTGGAGGAGAAGGTGGTGATTCTTGGCATGAATGAGGTAGTCAATCAGTTGAGAACTTATTATTTATTGTTAGGATGGTTAATTAATTTAATGAAATAGGAGTGGACAATATCATGAGTTTGTTCTCTCTGCACTGCAGGCTTTGATGTTGCTCAAGGCGTCTTTGGAGTCCAAGACGGTGCTCACAAATGTCTTCCTGAAGAACATGGAAAATGAATATGCTCTTACTGTTATATTCTCGGAGTTAAATTTTGGATGAGAATAAATGTTAATGTGGAATGTTCATTACCATAAATCCAAGATCCAACTATACCATGTCTTGACGTGATAGTGGGAATTACGTACTCAGTTTGTGTTTGCAACTTTGCATGCTTCACCATGATCAATTTAATGTACCTTCCGGAGTTTTGTTCTTTGACAGGAGGTGAATTTCCATAAGAACTTCTTTAGCTGTATTTTGATTTTAATACATGTACAACACCATTTGGTTGCGACCCAAATTAAAAACCGCAATCAGCTAGTTCTTGCACTTGACAGGAGTGTGATTTGGCTTCGTGAGAATGATCCTCGTCGCATTTTTTTTTACGCTGATTGATAACTACAAAGGCACTAGCTAAATGAGATCAAGAACCACAAAAGAAAGGCAGATCCAAAAGTGAGCTTGAAAACTTTTGGTTGACACCAAAAGCCAGAAAGTTACCATGTGCCGAAGCAGAGGAATAACGCGGTTGATTCCCTCTTTCACGTCCTCTGTTTGCCCGTAGCTACGATTATCAGGCTTCTCACCGAGCAAGGCATGGCAGGTTCCTTGGGAAACTCATACGACAGCATCGAAAATCTTTAGTAAAACATACATGCAACCCAACCCGATGAAAAACACTTTTCTCAAACCAAAATCTTCAGCTCGTTCAGTCCCTTTGTTGCCCTCAATTGATGCATCGCCGCCAGAAACATCATCTCCAAACGCTTTCTACTGCTGCTCCAAGAACTGCTACAAAACCTATGATTCTATGGGACATTGCATTGCAAGTACTATGTTACAGATGAACCGCGTGCTATTTGCCCTAAATGTTGCTCCCCCACCAGTTTGTCAAGGGGGTGGTGACATATATGGCTATGGACGACATGGGAGGTGGAGCCCTTGAAGAAAAGGTGGTGAATCTGGGGATGAATGAGGCAGGCAGTTAATTAAGAGCTTGATTTATTTATAATTTACAGATTATTAATCAATTTTCTCTTTTCAACATGTGTGGTGTGATGCATGTATACTAATACTACCAGTCGCTAATTAGTTGATTCGATCTTTTTAACAGACCTTGGATTGTCTTTAATAAAACATCTATGGAGAGTCCAATACAGTCCTCACCAATGTCTTCTTGGAAAGTATGGGAAAAATAAGGGATGCTGCCTCCCTATCTCTTCACGTTGCCCTGACCAACACTTCATTTTGTACTAGAGTAACCATATCGGCCCGACTTTGGCCTTTGAAGTAAGTGCCATGAATTGACCCTGTTTCGTTTGTGTCTTCTTGATGTGCTGGCGCCAACTTTTTTTTTTTTATATATATATATATATATATATATTTGCTTACTTTCCCTGGATCGATTTAGTGCATGTTTCATAAAGTAAGTGACACCCTAAACTAAATGTAATTCCTTCCAATCACAGCTTAAGCTCACTTGAAATCATATTTATGAAAATAGATGAAAATCATTGATCGCATTTACACTCGTAATCCCATATAAGATGCCAGAAGGAATTGAAGTTAAAGTCATTAAAAGATTATGTTTTTGGTTTAAAGAAACAAACATGTTTCAGTGCATCATCTTTGTACGATTACTATACATATATTGACTCTCAAAATTTCCATTAAGTATAATAAAAACATTTAACTCCAGAGAGAACTGATCGTATGAGGAATACTAACATAATGTGGATTTATGAAGACAAGTATACGTGCGATCAAAACTTACTTTTTTCAACAATTCAGAAAGAGAGGGTTGATGCAAAATACTTATCTTGTGAGTCAAGGGTTAAAAGCACTAAATTCCTCTAAAGTTTGGTGCCATTTCACTTTGTACCTTGATATCTTTTTAGTTGCACTTACTAAAGTAGAAATGACTAACAGTAAATGCTAAAGACAAAAGTGTTACTTCAAAGTAACAATTAGTAGAAATGATACTTAGTAGAAACGATACTTCAAGGTAACAATTAGTAGAAACGAATCTGTGTAAAATTTAATATAAAATCATTTCACGTACAAAAAAATATAAAATAATACCAAAAATAATACCATGTAGTTTTAACAACAACAAAAATTTGTTGAAATTTTAAAATGCCCAAGACAATGTGTATGAGAGATATTTTACCATATTTGTATCTCACCACCTTTTATTGATGCTAATTTGAGAAAGAATGTATTTAACAATAGCAAAGTTTCGAATTTAGTTAACATGATGAGATTTCTTTTTTACATTTTTTTTTCCAAATGATAGAGGAAGATGTCTTTTTTAATAAAAATGGGATATTTTGAAAACTTAGCCCCTGTTTGGCAAGGCAAGTTTTTGCCTAGTTTTTCTCCTATAAGTTTTTAATAATTTTAACTACAGTAACATCAAAAAACTTCCCAAAAATACGCACTTCAAAAATATCAAAAAATACAAAAAATTTCTCTTCTTTCCATTCTTCTTCTTCCTTACCCACATCAATCTACCACCATCTCTGCGCGCCGGTCACCTCTTCCGGCGGTGGCAGCTGCAAAAATTTTTTTTTGTTGCTCTACTCCCTTTCCCTCTTCTCCTTCCTCCTCCCTCTCTCTCTCTTCCTCCCCTGACCCCTCTTCTCCCCTCTTCCCCACCACCTTCCCCTACCCCCTGCACATATAGCGCGGCAAGCATGCAGAGGAGGAGGTGGAGGGTGGCGGTGGAGGGAGAGAGAAGGCAGGGATGAGAGGAAGGGAGGAGGAGATGGAGAAGAGAAAGAAAAAAACTTTTGCAATTGCCAGCGCCAATCGTCGGTGAGCGTCAAAGTGGTGAGAGAGAAGAAGTGGAGAGGAAAGAAAACGAAAAAGAAAGAAAGAAAAAGGAAAAAAAAGTTTTATATCTTAAAATTTTTTTTATACAACTTTTAAAGTAAGTTACAGTCAAATTTTAAATAAATATTTAAAAAACTCATTTGCCAAACGGGCCTTAGTTTTTTACTTCCTAAAAAGAAAAGAAAAGAAAAAATTGCATTGCCAAATATAGGTGATATGAGAAGTTTGGGTTGAGAAAAGAAAATGGAGACAAGGGTAAATTTGAAACTTTTGATTTTTTTTTTTTAATGATAAAACCCAAGGTGCTTTAACAAATGCAGCAAAAATAACGTTCATGCAAAAAATACTATACATAAAAGGGATAATTTCAAAAATCTCTCCTGAGATTTCTAACAATTTCACTGGCCTCTCTTGAGGTTTATAAAATTACACTTACCTCCCTTGGTAGAATTATGGGCCTAATTACTTATATCATATCGGGAGAAAATACTCATATACTCTAAGACATTATGTCTTATATATCTAACGATTGAGTAATTAGAACATTAATTAACTACTAATAACTAATTAATGAAAAGTGACTTGCAATGATAAAATAAGACCAATTGATATATCAAATGACGCTATTTTGTGATTGATAGAATTTAATAATGATTAGAAACTAGTTGTACATAGTGTGACAAGAAGGGCTTTAGTAAAAAAAAAAAAAACACAGGGTAAAAAAAAATTATTCGAGAAAATTTTCTTTGAAACCTTTAAAATTGTAATAGTTGTAAAGTAATTTCGTGGAAGCAAAGGAAAAAGAAGAGAAAAGAAAGACAAAATTCAAAAATTCATTCTGTTCAAAATCACAAAAATTATAGCAAACTTAATGTTAAGAGCGATGACTAGCATAATTTACTGAATCCTATGATCATTAGTATAGTTTTATTATTTATTTGTGTTGTCCAATGTATTGAATATGAATTTTTGAGCAATGAAATGTGTATGTTAATTGTTTTTAATTTTTAATTATTTTTATTTTTTTTACTTATACAACTTATAGACATGTATAAGGGGTAGTTATGGGATAAAGGTTTCGTCCCTCTCCTTGAAATACATTTTTAATGTTACTTGTTCTGATTTGGACTAATTTTGTTACTACAACGTTAACTTCAGGGGAGGCTTGTTTAAATTTGCAAACTTGAAGGGAGATTAGGTGAAATTGTTAGATACCTTAGGGGAGGTTTCTGAAATTATCCCAAAATAAAAACCAAACGTCTGATAGTGTTTAGTGCCCCCTAAATAACTACTCTCACCACTAAGAAACGAAAAAGAAAGAAGTCGGCCATAACTCAAAAGGTAACATCCCCGCTTTTGATACCTCCCTTCGGTACTGGTTTTCCATTATATTTACAGTAATACTATCATCATTCGCAAAAGCAATCCTTTATTTACAGAGAAGTGTTTGGCAGAGATTGATAAGTCATCATGGGATCCTCCAAGATAAGCTTGAAACTTTTGATCGACACCAATAACAACCAAGTTCTGTTCGCAGAAGCCGGGAAAAACTTCGTAGATTTCCTTCTTCATATCCTCTCCTTGCCATTGGGTACTGCTACAAGGCTTCTCCGCAAGCAAGAGACCATTGGTTCCCTGGAAAATCTGTACCGTAGCATCGAAAATCTTGATGAAGCCTACATCCAGCCAAACCAAAACAAAGACATCTTGCTACGTCCAAAACCACCTGCCGGCGCTCCGGTCACCCTCTTGGCGCTCGAGGATTCGCGGAAACCGGAGATAACACAGGGCAAAGCATTTTATAGGTGCGGCAGTAATTGTTCCAGGAATGTGACCGATGACCCTCGAGCTGTTTGCCCCAATTGCAGGTGCACCATGAATTCGGCCATGAACTATGTAGTTCCCCCACAAACTTCGGACAGTAAAGAAGGCGGATTTGTGAAGGGGGCGGCGACTTACATGATCACGGACGACTTGGAGTTGAAGCCCATGTCTGCCATTTCCAGCATTGCTCTGCTTAACGAGCTTAATGTCAAGAATCTAAGCGCCCTCAAAGAAAAGGAAGTGGATCTTAGCATGAATGAGGTAGGTCGAGAATTTTATGCAAGTATTTTGTTTGTAACTGCTGCTGATTAATCTGTCCTCTCTTTTCTTAAGAATTTCCAGTCTTAACGCAGCTTCATGTCCTTGTTCTGCCCTTGGCTTGTCGTTTCATAAGTTTACTTCTGTTTTTTCTTTCAATGTCTCCCCTTTATTTAGCGGACAAAACTTGACCCTTTATCACCATGAGTTAATTTCAAGCTTGACTTCATACGTGACAGGCCTTGAAGCTGCTTCAGGCGTCTTTGGAGTCCAAGACGGTGCTTACCAGTGTCTTCTTGGATGTCAAATCTGAAATTCCATGAGAACCGTCTAGTGTTTCACTTTTGGATATCAATTTTATGTTGGAATCAGTGACTATTTTGATCCTTTTTTGCTTAATTAAGGTACCAATTCTAAATGATCACTACCACTGGTATGTAATTCATTTCATCCTAATGCCTTTTTGCCTTTTTAGCATGCGCATATTTCGCAAGAGTTTCTTAATCGTCAACCTTGACTGACATTTTAAATTATATATATCCTAGAGAATGTTGATAATCTCGAAACAACAATCACTAAATTAAGATGCGAGGATAATCAGAAACTATAAACTCATTTACGCTGTTAATGCAGTACATGCTGACATGCATTGCAAGACACATGAATTCGTATACAATTCAACGTACCAAACTAAGCTCAGTATAAACCCGAACTCGCATGTACAAAATGTACTTTAATGGGAGTAAGCCAAATCCTCCCATTAAACTTTTGGTGGATACAGGAAACAACCGAGCTCTATGCGCTTAAGCTGACAAAAAACAATGGATTTCTGCTTCCATATTCTTTCTCTGACTCTCTGGCTATAGTTATCAGGCCTCTGAGAAAGAAAGGCATGGTTTGTTGCTCGTCTAACCTATATAACAGCATAGAAAATCTTAGTGAAACACAAAGGTGTGTTTCTCAAAAGACAGAGACATCAGAGTTGGAATGGACATTCACCATATAAGAGGATGCATACAAGACACAATTCTTAGGTGGAATCGTTATAAATCATGCGTTAACAGTTTGTATTATCCATTACGTGGTTGAAATTTTTATAGCACAGACATCTTCAAAGATACAGCAAGCCTATGCTTTGCGATTTTTCTTTTCCTCGATGCCTGATTGGGAAAACCTCACTCTCAAGATTTGTAATACATCCTCAATTTTAACTCCCCTCTTTGCCAGCAAAACCATGGCATGGTAGAGCACATCTGCCATCTCTGAGGCAGTCCTTGTCTTCTCCTCATTTTCCTCCAGCGTGCGACATAGTTCATCGGCCTCCTCCCTGCAAAAGAGCTCCAAAGATTAAGACAACTTTTACTGCATGTGGATACGACTCATACTTGCGTTATGAAACACAAAAAACTACAGGGCAAGCAAGTACATTTATTCATACAAAAGCCTCTCTACATGAAGAAAAGCCACGAACTCCGCACTAAAAAAAAAACAACCGAAAAAGTTTAGTGGTCATGATACCGGATTTTTGAACACAGCAAGTTGTCATCAAGCAATAAGCGCCTCGTCCAAGATGGTTTTCCATTTGCAGATCCTCTGTCCTCTTTTCGTTGATTAATGGTTGATTCTAAGGCATATAAAGTAGTCAATGCTAGCTTATTTTCATCTGCCTACAATAAGAGAGAACACAAATATAACGATGAAGAGATTTAAACACAATTAGTTAGTTTCAGGTTCATTATCATTGACAGTATATTACAGCTGATAAAGCATCGAATAAAAACCTGTGAGCTGATCATGTCATCAATGGACGCAAAATAGCAAGTCTCAGATCCAGTGTGGCAAGTTGGTCCATCAGGCTTCCCAAGGTATATTATCTGAAAAGTAGGTCCTGAACGATGATTTCAATAAAGCAAGGGCAGTCATCTGAGATACAATTGATCCACACTAAAAAAAGCCAAAAAACTTACAGAATCACGATCACAATCTAAGAAGATTTCGCTGACATTAATGAAATTCAAGGAAGTCTCTCCCTTTGTCCACAAAGTTGATCGCGACCTGCTATAGAATGTCGCCTTACGTGAAGATATGGTTGTCAGAAGTGCATCTTTATTGGCAAAGCCTTGCATTAAGACAGCTCCTGTATCAACATTTTGAGCTATTGCCACAGCCAACCCTTTGTCATCCCATTTGATGCTATCTAAAAGTAAGTCAAACTATAATACTTGTGAGGTACAAGCAACTTTAACCAAGCAAGTATAAGAGATCACTAGTTCATAGAGGAAAAATGCACTACATTCAAAGTGGAGAACTGGAGAAAGCTTTTTGGGTTAGACATCATCACTCCAGACCTTGCATTCTGTAAATATGTGGAGATATAAATATATAATAAATAGAAAACAACCCCATCACATCAAGATCGTTTTCAGTATCTTCTGTTCACCCGCCGCAAATGACGAGACAAAGGACAGTTGAAATGGCATCAATTTAAAGGAAGACATTATGATGTTCAGATTAGACATTAACCGCTATCACCCGTGTTTTTTACTACTCCAGACATTCAACAGCCTGTGACACAAGGAAAGTGGCAGGCACCTGCCAATGTCTAGCTGCAACAAGATTACTGATTATAGTCAATAGTAACAAAAGAATGCTCCCATTTCCAAACTAGATGAAAGACAACAGACAAATCTAAGTTACTGTCGCCCCCCAAAAAGCAAGCCATTTATCTGTTGGAATATGGGGTTCAGATGTAGCTCGTGCAGTCATATGGATGACTGACGGGCAACGATAAACACCTTTGTTTTCTATTCCAGACAATCAACGGTCCCCACAACCAGGACAGTGGTAGACACCTGCCAATGTCTGGGCGTGACCAGAAAATTTCATCGTCAAGAACTACAAATGTATCATCTCATTCCCTAACTAGTTAAAATGACATCAGAAGTTTGTTCTAAAACACAAGCACTCGCTAAGAGGGAAATTGATTGATCTACTAGAATATGGGGTTCAGATGTAGCTTGTGCAGTCATTGAGGTTGACTTACAGGCAACGATGAACTCCTACCATTATTTCCTGTTCCAGACAATCAACGGTCCCCACAACCAGGAAGTGGTAGACACCTGCCATGTCTGGTGAAGGTATATATTAAAAATAAAGTGGGGAACAAAATCTCGAGACTTAATAATGTACCAAGCAATCCAAACTAACTGATTTAATCATGCAATTGGTAAGCAGCTGCCCATATATCGATTGTCAAATGTCAACAGACAAATCACCCAGCTCCCCTCTTTTCTGAAGAAATACAATCTAGGTAGGGTCCAGAAGCTCGAAAGAAATCAAGTTAACAAACGCAAAATCACCATTTGGAAAGTTCATCCACTGAATATAGTATATGCTCGTAAAATAACTTCAGTTTGAGAAGATGACATGGTTGGCTGTCACCAGAAGCTTGAGAGAAATTAATCAACAAAGGGCAGATCAGCATTTAGCAAGCTCATATGTTAAACATAGTTACATACTAGTTTAAAAAAAAAAAACTTTCTCATACATCGAAGGAAAAAGGGTTCTGATTTAGAAGAAATCTCCGACGAATAAAACATAGTTTAACAATGCAGCAGCAATAATAGGCAGATATTAGTCGAAAAAAGTGAGCTCAGGGCATACAGAATCATTGCAGCATAGCAGCAAAGGATGCAACGACGACGATGAAGAATTCTGAAAATCTTTTAAAATAGTTGAAAAAATACCTTAGGTCCACTGAGTGAAGCTTGATCCAATTTTTTCATGCAAGCAAGAACAGGGCAGCAGGATCTGCTCTTGAGCCTCCCACCATAACAATAACCACCAACACCAGGGTTGCATCTAAAGGAAATCTTTGGGGTTTGAAAACTACTAAAACATGAATAAGAGAATGCCATCACAGGCCCATCAAAATAAGCAGCTAAACCAACCAAGGAGAATAAACAGCAACAATTTCCTGCTCCTGAAACACGAATTCCAGATCGAAATCACAAAATTATTCAAATACTATTGAAATACAAGGTAACAAGATTCAGTTTCATCACAACTTTAACCTCTGTCTGTTGTCTGCCAGCAGCAGCAGAAATGAGGAAAGTGACGCGAGTGAGGAGGAGGAGCAGGAGAGTGGCGGCGCGGGTTAAGAATTTAGATTAGGTTGTGCCACTTTTTATAACGGGTTATTGTACTTCGCCCATCCGGCCCTCATGTTTTACAATAATTCCAATTTGTCCCCCTTAGTTTCTGAATGTTGACCAATGGTTTTTAGTTTACCCCACTATTATCAGTTTACCCCCTAATATTATCTTTTAATCATTTCACCCCCATAAGTAATTCAACTCAACATGTTAAAAATTTTAGACAAAAATACTCTTTTATTCTTTAACATTATCACATTGTTATTATCACTTTTTCCCTTGAAATTATAGTGATGCAATTGCTTTAATTCCTAACATTATTTTCTAGACATTTTATCTCATCATTAATCTAACTAACATGATAAAAAAATTTTAAATATATTTACCCTTTTTATATATAATTACAAATAAAAAAGTTGAAATGAATATGATAAAGTTGGATAACTCTTTTACAGTTACTTTTTATCGTTGTTTTTTTTTTTTGTCAGTAACAATACATTTGTATAACCTACTCTATCCTAATCTAAAGGGGAAGGGGAATCTAAGGAGGCTGTAATAAAGAGCTAGTGGGTATACAAACCAAGGAAATGTTATGAAACAACCTTAGATTTTTTTCACTGTAGGTGAAATTTGAATCCTCACCTGCAGCCCAAAAAAGGATTTAAATCCCTCCCTGATAGCCACTGAACCATTGGCCCAATGGTTACTTTTTATCGTTGTTACCCGGTAGCCTTTTTTTATGTAACCGTCTTTCCGGCCCATTATCAGGTACATGTTACAACAGACCCGTTCTATGAGACTCAAATACTAATTAATGGTTGTTAGAAGTTAGAAACGCTCCTTCAAATAAATTTTTTTTTTTTTTAAAAAAAAGGAAGTCAGAAACACCAAAACAGTTTTCTTCCTTGAGTTCTTTAAAAGCTTTCGATTAAATTTTTCGTTCTCCGGCCACTAAATAACACATCATTTTGCGATGAGTTTCCACTGGAGCGTCCGAAAAGGCAATGAGCCGCAGAAACAATTTATAACTCCTCACTTGTTCAAGGGCGAGGCAGAATCTTCTTGAAAAGACGATAATGGCAAATACCTACTCCCATCATCAGACCTTTCACGGATAAGAAATCGAATTTGCATCTGGAATCATAATGGCTGAAACCCACCCAAGCTTCGAATCGAGTTGGTTAAACTACGTCGATGACCCGATAAGCAATGCAAGACTACCATCATGCAGCTGACAAGCGCCCTCCAGTCTTGAATAAGCAATGCACCATGTGCATAAACTACTTTCCAGATCCCACTTTAGATTTTTAGGACGTATATATGGAAAGATGGCTACTTTAGAAGAACAAACAGCATCAATTGCGTTTCTTCATCGAGTACTCGCAGCATTTTAGTCAAGCATTCCAGTTTTCAGAACAACTACGAAAACCTGAAACAAAGCTGCTGCTTTCTTCCTTTCTTTTGTCACCAAATACTATTCAATACGCATTAAAGAGATGGTTAGATATAGGCCGTTTCCAATTACATAATGGACATTTGGGATAGGTAATCATTAAATCCTATAGACTGGAGAGAAGAATACAAAGTCTCTAAGAAGCTTTTGCTGCTGACTTTCGGTTAGCAAAAGCCAAAAGGTGATGTACAGAGGTCAGCTGCAGAAGGAAAATCTATTCTAGCTATCTTCCCTTTAGAGGATTCTAAAATCAGTTTCTGAGTTAAATCAATATACAAGGTTGTGTCAGCAAGAAAATGCCTAGAGTTTATCAGGTGTCAAGCTCTGTACAACCAGGTGAACCACCTCAGCATTTACACTGCAGCATCCTGCAAAAGTAGATGAAAATAACTCAAACAAGCTCAACCTAAATTCAAACAAACTACAGAATAAACTGTGAGCGTGGAACACCAATATCAAAGACACGGACGCGTCAGAAAAATAGAACCACCCTCAAACTACCAAAGCTGGCATATGGCCACATTCCAAGTCATTTTACAAAAAATATCAGAGCTGGGCATATTGCCATTAAGAGGAAACTTCCAGGTTTTGCTTTGATGTTTCAAATCAAACTTCAACTACCAGGTCAAGTTAGTAATCCAAGAAATCACCCCCAAGGGAAAGAAAAAGCAAAACAAGCCCAATATTAGATCATGAAACTAAGACATTATACGATTACAAAACCTTCTGTGATATATATCTGGAGGCAAAAAATAATAACTTTTCCCAGAAGGTGCAGAAGCAAGATGTCAAACGTCTACAACTTTTTCCTTTTTTTTTTTTGTTGTTGTTGGTGGGGGGGGGGTTGTAGAATAAACTTCAACAACACCTTGATTAAAGAAAAAGGTTTGCAGTACCTATGTCAGATTAGCAGCATTGTTCTTTGTATTTTCTAAATTTCAAATATAGCAACTCTCAGCTGGATTTATAGTATCATTCAAGATTTCTTTCCACATAATAAAAAAGTGGTGTGATATTCATTGCCAGAAAGTCCATTTCACCATTGAAAGTCAATTCTATAAAATAAGTGGGGCTAATGTAGTATCTCCTTTTCAAAACTGGAAACCCTTCTAATTCTATGAAAATAAAATAAAATCAAACATGCAATCGAGGACATTGCTTGATCCCTACTATACCAGACGTTTCTATCACCTTAAAATCTTATTTATATTCAGCTACAACTTACAATGTCAGTACTTTTTGACGCTTGGAGACTAAGGTGTATTTATAAGTAGTTTCATACAATGCTGAGTAAGAAAAGAAAACAAAGGACACTTTCACTATAAAGACCACACTCAATAAAGCATCACAGAATGGTTGTAGAATACCAAGTACCTTCAATTCTTAGGGAAGTTTACCACCACGGCAAACTTGCAGAGCAAATTGTAGAAGCTGAAGAAGCGTCAAAGAGAAGTCATCTATGAACAACAAGAAATGCCTCCTTAATTCAGGCTCTTAAGAAGGACAGGAACTTCAACAAGGACAGGAACTCTGCAGGTTCATTTTTTTCCTTGATAATCTATCCACAATGTCATAAACGCCAAATCAGGCTCTTAAATTTGATAATTGGCCAAGCAATTTAATCAAATGAATCAAACTGGAACAAATTAACACATTGGAGAATCAGTTTGCAACTATAAAAGGACCTAAGACTGACCCTGAATTTAAGTGCCCTATACTCAATTTCATGCTGTTTTAAAGCACACTCCCAACCTAGTGTTAACATTATTACATAAGTTGTTGGAGTAAAATACACCAACTAATAATCTCCATAATCAATTCTTTACAGGAGTCCCCATGTCAGAAAATTTAATCTTACTTCAGCCGACCACAATAAAATCTAAACACAGGATGGAAACAATTAAACCAAGAACACAAAAAATTAGAATTCATACCACCTCTCCTTAAGTAGGTGCAGTAAAGATGGTTCACGTGCAAGCTTCAAAGAAAGGTTTAAGGTGTTGTAGAAGCATTATCGACAATAAATCTCAACCTTTGCATTTATTTACAGGGTGGAGAAAACCCAAGACTACAGCAGACTTGCGTTGAGATGGTACTTGCCAAAAGAAAAAAGAAATTCAAAAGTCTAGAAATACAACATAACTACTGTGGCAAGAATAGATTAAGGGAATTAGTTCACAAGAGCAGAATAAATGCTCCTGTGCTTCGTGCAATTAGATCATAAACACAGCATAACTACAAATGGCCAGAGAAACAATCATAATATACACGGTTTCCGCCTCTCATTCTCTATTTGGTAATCCTCAAATTACACATAACACTACTCTATTGAATTATAAATGCAGCATTATGGCACCATGAGCATGGATAAAATGCAGGGAATAAGAAAATCATGGTAAGCAGTGCCCATACCTCAATCTTAATATCATTCGGCAGACCCAATCGAGAAATGACATCTGAACTGGCTTGCTTCCAGTCAAACTCCACTAGACCACCAAACTTTTGATTGCTCTCTAATTTAGTATTCCACGAATTACAGTTGAAAAGTCGTCCAACCCAGAAATACAGAATCCCTGCCCCAGTTTTGCCAAAAGTAGGACATGAACTTGAAGTGATGACCACAAATGCAGATTGGGAATCAAAGTCATCAGAACCAAAAGTCACAACCTTCTCCAAACTGGGCCAACGGTACACTATTGGTTTAATAAAGCCAGAAGATGCCATACCATTCTCTAGAGTTCCATTTGAGATAGCTGACTCCTCTTTCCCAAGATGATGATTTACAATATGCAGGTCAGAATTTTTTCTGAAGGCAGCATCTGCATGGCATGAACCAACAGTACCTAAAGGCGATTGAAGCTTCAACTCATCATGCATGACATCCTGTTCCTCAGAATCTAAAGAATCCTGTGTCTCCAGGGACTTACTTAAAGAACAAGCATCATGCTTTGTTGTTACAGTGTCTTGTTCATTGGTAAGACTATTTGTAGGCATCTCTCTTCCTTGAGAATCATCAGTCAACATTTGCAGCTTAAGACTTTTCGACAAGCTGCCTCTGCGCTCAGCTATGGAAAGAGGAAATTTTTTGGATGGTGTCGACGCAGATCTTAAACAAGATTCGGAACTAAAATTAACATCAATGAACTTTGAACTTTTAGATATGGACTGAGGAGATATTTTGGACGACAGAAGTGTCATATTACAAAGATTAGAAAGCAGTGAAGATGTTAGACCAGGACCTGATGCAGCTGAAGGAGACATGTCCGGAGAATCTGACTGAATTGTCGAATTAATGCTTGCATCAGATGAGGAGTCTGGAGAGAGATAGGGAGGTGAAGAAGATGATGATGACAAGGAGGACGACGAGGAGGACAATGATGACAGGGATGATGAAGATGCAGACGATGATGATGACGATGACAAAGATGGCATCAATGATAACAAGGAACTTGCCGAAGAATGTGACTGCTGAGCTCTGCATTGCTCTTCAACAATGAACAAGGAATCAGGATAAACTATGGAAACACCTGACTTCATAGCTGAGACAAATTCCTTCATATTGCCAGAGATAAACTTACGCCTCAGTGCACTCCAAGAACTTTCTCTTGCTGGAAGATGAGTTTCCTGTTCAGTTTCTGAAGACGCAAATGGTGGCACAAAACCACCCATGATTGCTTTCTGAAAAATTTCAAAGTCAACACTATAAGAATCAATTATTCTATTCCCAGGGCAAATCTTGATTGATGCGTCTACTACATCCACATTGCTACTTGATTTGTCCATCAATGGCAGAAGGCTCGAAAAAGCATCCCAGAAGAAAGAAGGTTCTTCACCTTCCTTAATCATTACTACAGGGCCCTGCACTTTCTCATACCTAACAATCTGGCAAACAGCACCTCTAGCATCTCTTTCCATTATCATTTCACATTTCTTACCAATCCAAACATACATCGCAGAAGGAATATGGACAATGAATGCGCCTCTAGAATCCAAAGCGGATGGAGAAGGATCATTTAACATCTTTGGAACAAGATGCAAGGGATCATAGGGTGAGTGCGGAGCAATTCTATACATCCTTACTAACGAACTTGGGCTCAAAGGAAAAGCATGGACTCTTTTTTGGCACTGTAATAACTGGCAAGCAAAACCCATATTTGGATCAGCAATACCTCTTGCAGCCTTCACATACTGAAACGCATCATCAAAACTTTGCCCCTCTCTCCACATAAGATAAGCAATTACCAATGATGTTGACCGTGAGACTCCTTGACAACAGTGAACAAAAACCCTCCCACCCTGTTCCCTAACATCTTCAAAGTAGTCAAAAACATCATAAAGTATGCTGGTTATGTCCTCAGTTGGGCTGTCTTGCAACCACAGAGTCCGGTACACAAAATCCGCCTTAAAATACTCAGGACAGACAAACCCCACACAATTAAGAATATGAGTTATCCCGTGTTGCTTTAATATATCCCTATCCCTGGCAACTGCATCCCCACCGAGATAAACATGGTCAGCCACCTTTGAACACTCCTTATCAAAGAAAGCTATCTTTTCTCTTTTAACGAGTCCACCATTCCTATCTGAGTTCCTCTGTATATTAGATAAATCAAGCTTCAACCTCTCTCCACCGTTATTCACATCCCTACCACTAGGAGTGCTAGGGAGCGGCCACTCACCAATATCATCAGAACCAGCTTTTGGCCAGTCATCTAAGCTCCGACGAGCAATTGATAATGGCTGCAGTGGGGGGAGACACGACCTATTCTTAAAACTATTCTGGGATCTCGGAGTTAAAGGACCAGAAACTCTGCGACCCTGCCCATTACCGTTAGCATTCTCAGGTGGATCTAATCCATCCTTTTCACTATACGGGTTAAGAGGTGGCAACGTAGTCCGCGAAGAGGACCATGATGCGGACCTCCAAAACAATTTCCGGCCACCCACAACTTGGTATGGCCGCTGCAAACCACCCTCACAACCACCACCTCCTTCACCACCCGATGGGGCATCCTCCTTCCCCACCATTCCAACCTCCAAAACAGAATTCACTATACCACACCAAAATCCCTAAGCCCTAATTTCTCTTCAATCCGAAACAAAAATGCGTAAGAACTAAAGCCCCGAATGAGTTTAACTCGGAGCAAAATTATCCGCATCTGGGGCCCATGGACTTCACCTGTAAACAAAATTAACCAAACAAATTACTACTATAGATACCAGGATTTATCAGAAAATGCTCTAACTAAATTATTATCAATCTGAGATTTTATTTAACAAAATAACCTGGAGGGGGAAAGGGTACAAATCATCTAAAGAAAACTAAGATCTCAAAAGTAAACAAATCAAAACAAAACTGAAAATAAATCACACGAGTTATATTTTTTTAGGGGTTTTTATAGCGCCACAACCTGTGTATTTAACCAGAGCGCCTATACATACAGGTTAGGTATGTATACAATTACAAATCCATATAGATATAAGATATGCAAATACATATATGCATCTATATAGTATATATAACAAGAACAAGAGACAGAGGGAGGGAGATTTATCGAAACTCACAGAGTAATAGCAGTAACGTAGGAGGAGGCGAGGAAAAGAGTAGAGAAAAACAAGGGAGCAGTGGGACTGAGGAGAGTGGAAGAAGAAAGAAGAAGAAAGAATTGAGAAGACAGAGACAAAAATTGTTCAAGAGAGAGAAGATGGGATTGATATAGCGGTCACATTTTTTCTTGACTTTTATATACTGCTATTTGCTCCACCAGGATTCTCATGCTCACATTCAATCTGCCTTTTTTCTTTTTTCTTTTTAATTACCCCTCTCTCTCTTCCTCTCTTTCCTTTCCTCTTTTTGGTGCCAACTGATTTGAAGGGCAAAGGCCTGAAGGGGCAATAGACGTTACAATTAAAAGTTACAAATACTCCAAGCTAAACCTTCTTGACAGATGGCAATAGCCTTTTATAATTTTATTGATGTGGCCAAAAGGGCAATAGGCGCGCTGTGAATAATGGTGGCAGCAATGAAGAAGAAGCACATAGTAGAAATGATGATAATCTATCCCTAACAAAAGGTAAACCAAGAATTGAATAGTGATAAGTTAACAATGTGCTCGTTGAGAGAGGTGTTATAGTTAAAAGAAAAAATCGAAAACTAAATTAAGTAAAGTGTTTGAATGCAAGAAAAGATGGACTATGGGTTTTTGCAATTGTGTGATCAATTGGTACGTACGATGACTTAGGTTGAAGGGATTATTTGCGAGGTACACGAGCTTTTATGTGTGATAAAATTTGTTGTAATTTCGCAAAATAATATGTTTGTATTTGTTGCGTTAATACTTACGTTCATCGTCGCCGTGATAGTGTCTAATTGGCATACAATAATGTATGCCAATTAGTGCCTTCACCGAGTAAATTTCGATGTAAATTATCATGTGCATTAACCAGCGTCCTTCCTTCGAGCATTCCTTGAATTTCATAATTAGGGAAGAAAGTGCAAGAGGAAACTTAAATACATGGCATATCGACTATTTAGGACTTAGCTCATTTGCTTGTACTTAAAAATCATTAGAAGCGTTACAGTTTATTACGAAATTCCACGTCTTTGATCTCCTAAAGTAGAACTAACAATAATATTATTGATTGTCAAATAGGACTAAATTTTATCAACCATTTTGGTATTCATCATCAACATTAGAATTAAGCGGGTAGTGGGAGTAGTACCCTGTTTGTGTCGTAGGGCGCGAAACTCTTCCTCTATCTATCTATTCCCCGCTTCGTAGGGTAGAAAAAAATGCAGACCGCATAAGTCATGTGAACGGTCCCTTTTTCAATAAAGTGCGGTTCTTTTCCAACCTTGGCATTTTCACTTTTCACTCCCCACTTGTGAACTCCATTTATTCATATAGTATTATAATAAATAAGTGTAACTCATTTCCATATTTACTTGGTTTTAATGAGAAAGGACTCCAACAGCAGTAGCTTAGTCCAATCCCGTTTGGCAGGCGAGTTTTTTTAAAATTTATTTAAAATTTTATTATAATTTATTGTAAAAATTTTTTAAAAATTTTTTTGAAGTATATATATTTTTTAAATATTTTAAAGTGTATAATTTAAAATTTTTTTGAAATTATTGTAGATAAAGTTTTTAAAAAACTTGTAGCAAAGAATTGCTACATCTAGTATAAGGATGGACTCGTATCATGGTGTCAAAGACCCCTTGTTCTTCCACTTGGGTGTTGGGTTTTTGCCTAAAAGGGGGCTTTTACCATGTATTAAGAAGGTCCAACTTCAAGAAATTTGGACGTCAAAATGATTTTTTTTTTTGAGGGTGAAGACTGAAGAGGTGAAGGACAAAAATGAATTTTGTGGTGAACAAAGGAAACTAAATCATGATGCACCAAGTGTACGGTTATAACGATGAAATTGATTGATGTGCTTTTCTCCATCCATAACTACATATCAGGGAGGGAGGTAAAAGCAAAACTCTTTTTTATCTGAATGAGAAAAATCTAGACGAGGGACCAAGGCAAGCAAGGTCAAAGAATTTCTTGACTACCAACGATAATCATAATTACTCGTATTTAATCCTATTATAATATTGATTAGATATGAAGGATACATTTGTTTGATGTAACATCCATCTTCTAAGATGTTTTATCCTCCTATTTGCCTGTTGAACCTGCTCTGTTCCAAATATACGGCTGAGGTAAAATCAATACTACCACTCTATTATGCTATTCTTCTTTTTTTTTTTGAAGTTATTGTTAGAAAATATGGATTAGCTTTTAATGGACTGACAATGTAGTAATTTTTTTTAAACTGATAGCTATAGATGTATGTCGCATATACATGATTTGAATTCATATTATATGGCATATTATAATACACTAACAGTGTATTAAAAACCCACTCAAAATATATATACGAGATAAAAAGGTAATTAAAAAATATGTGAGGAAATATTTTCAAAATTTTTCTTGAAAATTTGACAATGCAAACATCAGCTTAGTGTTTCAGTAGCACAGCCAATACATCATCACTAAGCTAACAATAATTTGTTCTCATCCACTTAACCCAGAAAAGTAAAACCCAGTCCTACCCATTATCATCTGGTCAGTTTATGCTGGGCAGTAAAATTGCAGCACGGGGATCGAAATTTTAATTCAGGCAATATATTTTTTTTATAATAACAAAAAAGAAATTAGCATGCCCACTTTTTACTTTTAAGAAGAAGAACCAAAGCAGGGTCTTGCCTCAACTCCCAACTTTAAAGAACTAAAGCACTGCATTTTGTCTCGAGTACTCCTACAAGCCACCAAAGAAAGGAAATGATTTCATCTTTTCAAAAGTAGATACCCAAACCAAAAGCTTCATGTGATTTTTAGCCCTAAATCCTCAGACTAACTAAACAAAGCACGAAATGACTGGAGACTTGTAACTGCAATTTGAAGGAAAATGCTATAGGATTCAAAGCTGAATGCAAGATGTGACCGAATGCTCAAAATGATTAATGATCAGCATTTTGTAATCTCCTTTCTTTTTTTCCTTTTTACATGGTTTGCCGAACCATCTAAACTCATAGACATCATCCTATTCTGCACCTAGTGTTCCTGAAATTGATTGAAGATAGAAGACCATCCAAAATTGGCTTACTTGAGGAATCAGCAAGAAAACCATAATGGAATGTGTATGGAAAAAAAAATTGAAGTCAAGCAAGAAGTAAAGTCTCAAATAGACCGCTTCCACTGGATAAGCATCTAATAATGTGACGACGACCCTTTAAGATAACTTTGACAGGACCATGCCTCAATCCGGAAGAGATAGACCCCAGTCAGGCTTCTCTTCACTTCTTTTCTTGATCATCATTCTCCACACTTTCTCGACAATTCAACATTTGAGTGATGATAAAACTTGAAAGTGAACGGAGCAAGATAAGTCTCTAACAAGTGGCATTTTCCATCGCTTTGGTTTCTCTTAGTTGAAAATGTGAATCCGATTGTTTTCCAGAAAGAACAGACATATAGCTAAACTTAGACAGTGCGTGTAAATGCTGTCAAAACTACAGTGAACTGCATAAGCCTCTTGACTAGATGCCATTTTCCGTCCATTTCGTTTCTGTTCCTTAGTTGAAAATGCGAAATCCAATTTAGCCCAGAATGAACAGAGACACAACTATACGTTGGATACATGGAGAACATGATTTACAATGCATAAAGATGTTCACAGATCTAGTATAAATTTGGGTTTCAATAGAAACCAGAAGCCGATGGAATGTAACCAGTACGCTGGACCGACTAATGGCATGGACTTCTGAAGAGCTTGATACAGTGATGGAGCACCACATGAGCGGGTGCTGTTAAATTTTAGTAAGAAAGTACGAAGAATTACTGGTCATAGCATGATCCGGGACCAACTGGAGGTCTTCGAGCGTATTGGTTTCTAACTGGAGCAGCCGCAACTCCGCGCCTATTCAAGAGGCAGCGGAAGTATTCCAATCTATTCAATGCACTTAACTTAGTATCTGGTGCAGATGTTGCCTCCCTGTCACTCCACAAGCGCTCTGAGAGAGAGAGAGAGAGATTAATTTTACGATACAAAAAGGAAAAATTTCAGGAATGGAATGCATAGTATAAAACATTTATAAAGGATGAAGAGAAAGAGGCCTTGGAACTATAGTGTATTAGCACGCAAAGCACTGGAAGGACATCCAGACGGAAGAGTAAACAAATACTATATGGTAGTACTCCCAACAAGAATAGGCATATGACAAGCACAAACCAACAGTAGCTCAAGACGTCCTACTCTTGGAAGAAACTATGAGTGGAAATAAGCAATGAAAATCTCACCGCTTGATAATCATTTGAAAATCACGAACTGACCAACTGCCGGGAATCCAACTCGACAAATTTAATGTACTATCTCAAGAAAAACTTTTTGTTATCATCCTCCATACCTTATATCTACTTTACATTATCCAAAAAAAAAACATTTTTAAAAAGCTAACAAGCAAGAACAAGGATAGAAATATGCGCTATCATGGTGAAGTTCAGAAACTGTTAAAAACTTGAAATTGTCCCATTTGATTCTCAAGCACCTTCCAAGCAAAAAATAAAAATAAAAGACTTCATAAAGCCAATCACACTGCAAAAAGGTTTGGGATCTTAAAATATATCCCGACAACCGTAAATGGGTCATGAAGCCCAATCATATGAAACTAATTTTGTGAAATGCAAACCTGCTGCTGCTGCAGCTCGAGGCCATATTGTTTGTTGAACATCAGAGGTATCAGCTGTTTCACTCCACATGCATACTTCTCCTCCAAGCACAAGTCTTTGTTCAGAGGCATCTTTTATTCCTTCCAGTGGCTCAGCATAGTAGGTCTCATTCCATGGCACGTCTAAGTGGTCTAGGTACCAGACACCTTGATTGCTAAAAATGCATCTAAAACCCTTTGCAACAGCCTTTGGGCATACACCAGGACCCAACCTACATCAGATAACAGACTGCTTCTTAAAAGTAACCATAAAATGACACTATTTATCTGTAGAAGTACATTAAATGTGATCCTTACCAGTTATGCACCACAGTTTGAGGGTTGAGTTTAGATGGAAATGTGTTGAAGGTCTCCTCCCTAGAATGACCATTTCATACACCCATTGCTCGGATTAGATAGAAATGTAAGGATGAGAAGAAGCACAAGTAAACTACTCATGAAAGAACATGCTCTTTATGGACATTGGCTTCCAACTAAAAGGTTTTTGTCTACTAAGTGTTATAGGCTCCAG